ATTTTATTATTTTTTATCTTTCTGCATGTTCAAAAAAAAAAATTATTTTTTATCTTTCTAATAGAAAATTCCACTTCACATTTACCAAGTACACGGAGAATTTCTCAAAAAGATACAATGAAGTTTTGTACACAAGGATATCTTAATTCAAATCTAGGCCATTAAGAAAAATATTTAGTGTGATTTGAATTATAGTAAATTAATTTTAAATAGGTAAAGTCTTTAATATTAAAGTTATGAAGGCATTTTCTTATATTTTGATTCAATTTTAGATAACAAAAAAGACTTAATGTTTTAAATTTTAAGGAAGAAAAGAGAAGAATTGCGATGAAAATGATTAAAAGGTTTAGGGCATAAAATAATTGAAGTGAAAAAAATGGTCAGGACCTGATGGAAATCCTAATAAAAGTTAGGGGACCAAATTGGATGATAATTTGCCGGTACCCATATACTAAAGCTGACTGACGTGGAGAAATCCTGCACACTTGTTGACACGAAACGATGCCCGTCCGATTTACTTTCTAACTCCTCTGTTTCCCTCTATGTTCTTCCTCCCTCCTCTCAACTCCAAGGGGTTTAATTTCATTCCTCCAACTCTGAAGGGTTTAAGCCTCAGAAAGTTGGAAGCAACGAAGAAAAACCAGATTGACAGTGAAGATTTCTGAATCTGATTGCGATTTCTAGGTATTTAATTTCTATCTTTTGTTAATTCTGTTTTGTTTCCATGGAAATGGGAAGATTATATCTGATGTTGTTTTGAATCCATTAGGCATTCTCAGAATGTTGCCCAGATGGAGCAGGGCCCTTCCCCATGTCCCAAAGCTGAGGTCTTTGAGTAGTATGGAGTTCAGCGAAGATGTTGGTAGAATTCAGCGCCAAAGCTATGCCAAGGTTGCTGCCGCAGCTGTGTCGCCGGCTGCTACTGATTCCACGGGCAAGGGTGTTCCTACCAAATCAACCGTATGTGTCCTCAACTACCCACTTTATGGGTTCCTTTTATGTGGGATTTTTCATCTGTTTTTCCTTGACAGCTTTATGTTTTCATGCTGTATCTTAGTAACGAAAGAGGTTATGGATTTGAATGTGAGTCCTTTTCAACGAAGTTTTCCATTGTCTTTCTCTCTAATTTTCTTTGGATATTTTTTCTACTTCTCTTCACTTTTGTATAAATTAGATAATCATGAAATGGCAGAAATGTAGCTTGATCATGTTTTTACAAGCTATTTTCTTTTTCTTCAAAATTTATGTTTCATGTGAATTTACTTGTCTGTTAGACCCTTCGAGAGATATTTCATATTTGTAATCCTATCTTTTGATTATCATCTTGCATCTATCTCTAGAGTTTGCAGTTTCCTGTTTTCTGTGATTTCAGAAGTGCTATTTCGATATCTTGCTGACTGTCAGAGTACCAATTTGGAGCAGGTCAATTTGGATAAGATGTTCTGGTCTAAGCCTTGTTCATTGGCTTTGGCTCCAGATTCCCCACTCAGAATTGAAGAGCCAAAGTATGCGGGCATCAAGTATTTTATCCTCAAGCTGATGCTGTTCTACAGTAAGCAAAGCAAGTCTATCCGAGGGGCAAATGTGATATATAAGCGGGTTATTTCACAAGTTGATAAACCTGCAATATATGAAGGTGAGTCCTTCCCCATGCTTGCATTTCTGTTGTTGCACTGAGAAATCTATGCTTAAGGAATTCATTGCTACATAGTCAATTTATTAAATTTCCAATGACCAAATCCATTTGGGGAACCATTCGTCCATTGCTGTATTAATCCTGTGCATATTCTTCCCACATAAGGAACCTCACTTCAAAGTTTGCAGTTGGATAAAAAGTTCTTTTACTTTGAATAAGCCGAGCATCAAGGATAGTGGTTTAAATTGGGGTTGCTAGGAAGCATTCCATAAAAATTGAGACCTATTGTCAGTCCTCAAAACCCCTTCCCTTTTTTGTTTATTTATTTTATTTCTTCCCTATTCTCAATTTAGATCAACAACATGCCTCAAGTTTTGCAATATTTCTTTAATGCCTACAGTAGTATCTTGAGATTCATGAATGATGTATAAACTAAACTACTCTCTTTCCAATGCAGTATTTAACTTGGAGAAGACATTCAAAATGACATTCTCATTGCTTGTACTTCATATGTGGCTTATTTTACGCTGCTTGAAGGAAGAGGGAAAAGACGGTGTTGAATTAGGGCAATACCTTTATGAGATCTATAATCATGATGTGGAGCTGAGAGTGTCTAAAGCTGGGGTTTGTGTGCTTCCCTTGCACCTTTCATTATTTAACCTATCATTTTTAAGGCTTCTATTAATCACTATCAATCTAAAAATTTATGTCATTAAGAGATTAAAGCATCAATAAGATTTTTAGTAAATCTATATTTTTCTTCACAAGAAAGATGTTAAGGCTCTTTGCTATTTGTTTTTTCAAATATAATTTGCATGCCATTTTCATGGTAAGGCTGCATTTGATTTGATATTTACACTGTTGCTTGCCTCAATTACAAAGTATGGGGTATTTCTATAGATAGGGATTCTTTTTTATGCTCTCTTTGGTTGGCATGACATTATAAATGCTCTGTTTTAATTAGACAAGTTGTTGGCATATTTTTATTCTGTTGCAATGGCAGGTTAACTTACTGTTGACAAAGTGGATGAAAGAACTGGAGAGGATATTCTATGGAAATATTGTTGCATATGATGCTGCCTTGCTTCCAGAAGCCAAAAAGGATGAGCTAACAAATGTTTTATGGAGGTAAGTAATAATCAGAACTCTGCCATGATATTGCTTTGCCAGTGCTCTCTCATTTAATACAGAAGAGATCTTTCTTGCTTGTCCATTTGCCACAATGTCAGTGAGATGATTTGGTAGTTCATTTGCTAGTCCTACCAATTTACATTTGTTTGTGCTTCTTTCAGGAATGTCTTCTCTGACGATGGTGCATCAAAGCCAGATGATGCTGCATTACGAGCTGCCCAGGCATGTTTTCATTTCCTTCATAACTGTAATTGGCCATACAAGATTTAGTTTGTTGGTTTATTTTGCGTCCAAGGTATTATACGAAGTTTCCATTTTGTTATGGAACCCATCATACATCTATTTTAACTCCATAAATTTTCCTTAGGCTTGTTAGAAACGAGTGATGTGGTGGTCAGTGACAATCTAATGAAATAGACAGTATGAAGAATGACAAGTTAAAGCTCTTCTGTCTTCCTTGCTGGAGGCATTTTTTGTCAACAATTGTGTCAATTAATTCCTCTCAGTTAGAAATGAATGTAGAAGACAATGATTTTCATCTACTCTGTCTATAGAAATGTTCTTTTTCTCTGAATTGGATGCCCATGGCATAGCTGAATCTTTGTACTTGCTTGCAGGCAATGGCACGGTATGTCCACCGGGAAGTCAGTTGTCTGTCTTTAACTGGTAGGTTATGATTTTAAATTTTCCCCATTATGCATAAATCTAAATAACTCATGTATAATGATTGTTTTATATGGGATATATTAGTGCTGTTATATTTCTGACATTTGGGAAAGATCTTATTTAGGTTTCCTGACACGTTCATTTCTAATATAAAGTTATGATGTTAATATGTGTAGATAAAGAAGCCATGTTTTCAGGGAACTTCATGTTCACCTCGTTGGAGAAAACATCATCTGATTCAACGAGAAGGTGATGTTCAGACGCCAATATGGGAATTGAGGGTATTGGAGGCTGGTGCTTCAACCCAACAAACAAAGAATGTTAGAAACACGGAACGAAGACAAGGGAAGATATTCCTGTGAATTCAATTGAGCTGAACTTCTAGAAGACTTATATATTTTTGTTGGAATTAACCATTTTACCGGCTTTGAATTATTTAGTTAGTAATTGGGGTTGATTGAAAAAAAAAAAGGGTTACGAATTAAAGGTTGATGGAAGAAATCTAAGTAGATACAAGAGTTGGGAAAACGGATTAACGGCTAAGTTTTTTTATACAAGTTCTCTGAAGTATTCTATTATTTCTATGGATCTAAATAGAACTTAGAAGTGCTCACGCCGACACTAAACATTTTGTCACTATTACGGTGCCGGTGCCGAGCCGCACTAGGTTGAAACCAAGTGGCGGGAAGAAGGTTACATTCCACGTACGTTTTGAAGGGTATATGGGGATGGCTCTCATAACTTCTTGTGCCCGTGTGCTCGTGACAAAGTCATTCGTGGGCATGGGATAGGTTGCATCCAAGGAAGTTTTCGATTGGCTATCTAATGACCCTAATATACTTGTAGCTTTTAAAATTATCTGTAGACATAGGATGATATTATCACACATCAGGTATATGTATGCCTCTAATAATTGTCATATATATGAACTTGAAACCATGCACTCATGTATCTTCATATACATATATATGTGCAGTCAGAGCAAGAGCGAGATCATGATGTTTCAAGGGAAGAAGCAGTGAAGTTTTTCCTCCAAGAAATTAGAAATGCATGGAAAATGATTAATGAAGAGTTTCTGAAGCCAACAGTTATTCCAATGCCTATCCTGACACGCGTTCTCAACTTTGCTTGCGCAATTGATGTTGTATACAAGAATGGCGAGGGCTACTCAAAGACCTACTTGTTTAGGGACCATATTGCCTCGTTGTTTGTTGATCCTGTTCCTCTTTGAGGGGTATATGTAGCATTACATCCTCTTAGAACCTATTACAATTTGCAGCTTGATATATATCTTCTGGTTAATTTCAGTTATGTGCTCCTTGTCTGGATGTGGGATTTTTGAAAGCTGTAGTAATGGTTGCAGGCAGGTTCCACAATTGCTGTTTCAAGTTTCAACAATTTGCAAGCGGTTTTGATTTTTCAAGCATTAGTTTAGTATGATGTTTTGTGTCTTAATTTGTGTCCTTTAGTGGCTATGTGCTATCTTAAAATTTATACTATGAGTATATTTTGTTATCATTTTTTTAAGCAATATAGGTGTCTCAACTATCTTGTACATATTTTGAAATTATTCTTTTCTTAATCTAATTAAAGATAAATTATCTGTATTAAACTAAAAAATTGATAAAAAAAATTGTTTTCTCATTAAATGTACAATAAAAAAAAAATCAAACATTGATCAATAAAATGAAAAGCAAACCCTATTGCCAGTAAGCCACACAACTCCTTTGTTACATTTTGTTATGATGTAATAATGTTTTTATATCCCATATTTTTTTTTCGATATTAATTATATAATGAAAGATAATCATTTCTCATTTTTTATCTCAACCCACTCATATATCATGTAATTTAAAATTAAAATTTTTTTTTTCAAAAAAAAAAAAAAACCACTGGTACTTAAGCTTAGGTTGTTGAGTATATCCCATACACTTACTAATCTGTGGGCAGTGTTGCAAAAAAATACCAAGGCAAAATACATGCAAAAGTCAAACTTAAAATGTTAAATCTTAGCGAATGTAAATTGCAAATTCTAAAAATTTGTTGACTGGACACATTCACGAGCTTGTTTGAGAATCACCTGCACCAATCTCCTTCTGCAATTTTCCTAGAAAATCAAACATTTGTATATCTATCATGCTAAACAGAGTCACTCCACACACTCAAACAAGCACAAACCTTCCCATCCTCTCTACAATTTCTCAAACCACAATGATCATCCACAAGAAAACCAAAACCAAACCCACATCCTCTTCTTCTTCCAATCAAGTTCCATCATCATCGAAGCAAACAATTTCCGGTAACCCCGATATTCTCACCGAATTCCTCTCCCGCCTCCCACTAAAGTCACTCCTCAAATTCAAGTTCGTGTCCAAGCACTGGCTCTCCCTCATAACCGACCCCAAATTCTGTCCCGAACAGAGTTATAAAACCCTCTCTGGTCTCTTCCTCGCCGTCCCCTTGGTCTGAAAAACACCACATACAATTTCATCAATCTCGGTCCCAATCCCTGCAAACCCACGTTTAGAATCCTCGATTTTGTTCACGACCCATCTGGAATCAGAATCTTGCAGTCCTGTAATGGCCTCTTGTTATGCTGCAGCTTTTGTCCAAATCTGATCGACAAAAACTGCTACGTATACAAACCCAACAACGAAGCAGTCCACTGTACTCCGGGTTTAATTCCGGGAACGTCTGTAAAGGGTGTTACTTTAGCTTTCGATCCTTCAAAACCGCTGATCACAAAGTCATTTGCGTTCGAAATCCCGATTCCGACCTGCAATTCCAATACCATATCGAAATTTACTCACCCAAAACCGGCCCCTGGTGGCGTTCAGGCCGTCCTTTCGCGGCACCCTTCAACGTAGACTTCAAAAGCAGCGGTTTCTGGAACGGTTCCGTTCACTGGATCAGTGACTTCGGAGACTTACTCCGTTTCGACGTTAACGAAGAGCAGATCCGGGAATAACCGATCCCGGTGCTTCCCGGAGACGGGGTCGACGAGAGGCTGTACAAATACGTCGGAGAATCAGGCAGATGTCTGCATCTTATTGAAATTTACGCATCGTTTTCTCTACCGTTTGATGTGTATCAGATGGAGAGGGACTGTGCCCCCTGGTTCCCCAAGCACCGTGTCGATCTCAACCCGGTTGCGGCTGCATACCCGGATAATGGTTACGGATTATGTGGATCCAATTGACTTAAATTATTATGACTTTGCCATTCCAAGTGTCATACAGGGAGAATCAGAAGAGGACTCATACCTCGTAATGTACTTACATAATAAGGCCATTAGGTATAATTTCTGGGGACAGAGTTTCCAGAAAATATGCGATTTTGTGCCGCTTGATGATGGAACGAAGCATGAGAGTTTACAAGGGCCTGGTTGGTTTGATGCATACCAGTTCGTGGAGAGTTTTGCTGGTGTCTAACAGTGGTTTTCTATCATATCATGTGCATTGTTAGAGTTTAACACGAGTGGAACATGAGTGTTGTAAATTGCAAAATAAATTCGACAAGTGTGGTTAGCAAAACACTTCCATGGAATTTTCCTAGCAATTGTTGCGGTAGCTGTACAAGTTGGAGATATATTGTGCTTTCCATACTTGCAATGATTTGCGGAGGTGTTGTGGAAGGTCTTCCTGATGTTGCACATACGTAGCTGGAGGGGCCCCATCTTATACAGTTTCACGGATTAGGCTTCAGAATCCTTTAATTGCCATACAAAGACATGAATGAGCATTTCCTGATTAATATGAGAGCATACCATACCAGTCTGTTCATCCACACTTCTATATATAATAATAATAATAATAATAATAATAATAGTATAAAAGGGGATTACTCTCGTTTTCTAACAAGATTTAAACCTCACACCCCTAACTAAAATTCTGATGCTCAAATCGTCACTGTTGACCCCCATGAGACACTCAAGACGGACTTTTCAGTTTAATTGCAGATGATGCAACAACTTGGGATCAGAGAAAATCATTCTGTTGAATGAATCTATCTTGCGTTCTATAGTTTGAAAAATTAGACAGGCAAAGAGATGAGATTGAGGCAATTGTTATGGTGATTTGCCCATATAATGATGTTAGTGTCATGCCCCTAAACTGCGGAGAGGGAGCAATCATTTTC